TCACCTGAACTTTATATTGTAATTCATGCATTTTCATTACTGAAATTGTCGACTTGTAAGTTGGTGTATTGTGTATTATCTTTAAAATTGAATAAAAATAAACCGCACAAAAAAAACACTTAACTGTAAAAAGGAAAAAAAGATCATTTTGCGAGGTATTACTGTAATCTATTTTTAAGTTCATTAAATACAATATCTATATTGATAAAATCAATTCTTTCTTCTTTCCTCACAATTAACTTTGGATATTTTACTTAAGACATGTTTATTAGAACTTCTATTATGCGAATTAACAAATAGGAAATATAATATATAGTTTTGATGAAAAGGAAAGTTATATAATTGCAATTTTGTTATTAAAAGTATAGCATATTTAATAAGAAATTAAAGAATTAATAAGTTGTACTTAAATAATTAGTTTGGCAATAGCTGAAATTTTAACATGAAAAGTATATAATACCTAACGTAACCTGCCCCAATATAAAATTATCTAAACTTTAACTTATCACAGTGCAGCTAAAATCATTAGTTTAAAAGTGATTGAATATTAATTAACAATATTATTTTATCATTGTTAATTTTGTTACATTGGTTCTAAGCACTTTTTAAAACCAATGTACACTTCAAGACAATATAAGTGTTTTTATTTATTTGTTATGCTTGATCTGTTTCACAGATATTTTTATTATTTCATTATCAAATATAAAATACAGACTTATTTGCTTATTCTTATTAAAATATTCACACACTTCTTTAAATTAGAGTTTTATATAAAACTATATTTAATTTATATAGTATTAAGATATATATTATATGGTATTTACGGATATGTAATAGAGGATATAATAACAATATGTTTTATAAAAATTGTACTATAAAGTTAATATAAAAATATAAATAGGAAAGTGATAATAACCAAAAATAATTGTACACATACATATAAAAGTCTCAATTTAATTGTTTTAATTATTATTTACTTTAATAATTATAAATATGTGAAAAATGACAAGAAACATAAGTAAGTTTTGATTCTGGTATAATCAAATAAGTTTTCGTAGTGTTGAAATACCCATTCGCACCTTTCTCGTGTTTCATAGCTTCATCTAGATTAGTAGGACACACAAAGAGCAGTTGTAGCTGGGATCACCGGCAGCTGTTCTAGGTCCGGTGTCCTCCTATTTTTGCCTGTTTGTAGTGAAATTATTATGCAATTAACCTTATCAAATTACCAGGGCGTAACGGGGTTGGCAACGTCGTTTAATCTGTCCTCCAAATTACCTTCGCCCGGTGGCATTAGTCCCGAAATCATAAAAATTACTTACACGCAACAAACATCGCCATATTGCGTGTAATTCGCATCCAGTTGGAACCCGTCTGTTGTTACGTTACGTACGTCAGCGATTGTCACAAACATGCATTTTTATTTATTACAGCGGTATTCAAATAACGTTCGAGCGCGTACGCAAACACACCGAACATGATTCACTCTTTGTTTCAACTCTGATAGAATTTTGCATTAGTTTCACATAGTGCTTCAATATAAACATTTTTATGCAATCATTGAAGTCAACTTTTTGTCTATACAATTTGTAATTACATATAAATTTAGAAACAGTAAATGCGCCACCGCGTTTCATTTGCAAACAAATACTTTTATTTAATACTCAAATTAGATTTGAGACGTTTTGTCTGGTCCAATTTAAACAATTGTCTATAGTCTAAAATTAAAACAAGAATGACAAATAAATATAAATATTTCACATAATCACAGATTGGAGCTATTGCAGTAAATTGTAAATTAACATAATTTGATTCTTACTTTAGAATAGTATAAGGACTATTATATAGTAAAATAACTGATTTCTAACTGCTGTAAACCAATAACTTTTCTCAAACTGAATCCATCCAATTTTAAACAATAGATATATACAATGTAAATACCAATAAAATTATGATAGAGGTCCAACATAGGCGCCAGTTTAAATTCGACAACTCTAACTTATATACTATATTATCTACACAGCATATATAGTGAAGATAATCTTTCTCAAAAAAATAATATTATAGATTCTCATTACATCATATATTACACTAAATTAATGAATTTTGCATAAATTAAAAAAAAGTTGTTAAAAAAATACATTTGACTTTTAATATTATAATACTCAAATGAAATGGAACTGAAACGGAATATGTGTTTTTCTATATATATATGCGCATTTGATAATCCCATATATATATATTTTTCAATATGAATTTACAATAATAAAAAGAATGAAAATTGTTGTAAACAAGAGCGCATATAGTTTTAATTGGAAACGGTTGATTGAATTTCACGTTATTTCCATTTAATTTCACGTGCAATATGTAAATCCGAACACTTCCCTCGATTAAAACTTTGATGGATTCGAGGTAAATTCGAACGCACAGCAAATATATTATAAATATCTATATCTATAGATATACAATATCGTGTGCGAAATGATATATTATACACAGCATTCACACATGTCCGCCCACGAAGGAACAAAAAAAAACGTACACGCATAAACCTTTATTATTGATGATTGTCCTGGTTGCAAATATATGGACCCGTTTGTCGCCGTGGTGAAATTATTAAAACCCTATTTTATGTATCATTATATATACCCATTTGGATGAATGGGGCTAAAGCCCTGTGGGAGAGGACGAACTTGTAGGCGTGTTCCTTCCTGCTATCCCTCTCTCTTTCACTTTTATGTTCAAAACTAATTTTGTAGTTTTCTGCAAAACTTTAGCGCTCATAAATTAGTTCACAGACATTTCAATCCAGCCCCCTTCGTCAGACACCACTTGTTTTACCCTTTATTGGAATTTAACGATTATTTTTTCCATTCCGTAGAAAACCCTTTTCGTTTTTTTTCTTCTTCTTTTATTCTTCTATATAAACTTAATTATTGAACAAGTTTTCTTAACTTTAGATTAATACGTAAACATTAATTATGTGTAATTTTAGATATACATTGAAAACTCGGTTATCGAACATAATACATTTTACTTTCTGTTCGAATATCATTATTTTCCCATCAGATTTAATATAAAATTCTATAATCTATTCACGAAGTTCATATAGCTTCTTCAACAACAACAAAAACTGCATAAAATTCATTAAATAAAATAAATATAGAAGAAAATTATATATACAAAAGTCAAAATTAGAAATAGTAATATTACATCCAAAAACTAAAAATGATAAATTTTATTCTAATATAAATTTCATTTACTTTAAACAATTGCACATATTTGATAAAAAAAAGTAATAAAAATTGGGAGTTTAAATAAAACTCCTCTTATAAGGTTATGAAAACGCTGAAGTGGATTAAAGTGTTTCTTATATAATTATAAAAACGCTTTACGATAAATCATCGTTGCATTTAGTTTGCGTTTGCAACTAAGCAATCTTTATATAGGTACGAAAACGACGTTAAAATAAGAAACATAACTTATTGTACACATGCTCTTATAGACTTTTCCTCCCTTTATTAATATATTATATGAATATATGGATTAGATTCTTTATTAATATTTGAAAAAGAAGTATGTAATGTTACGATAGATGGGTTTTCATGGATATGGAATGCATTTGATTATTTGCATATCAGATTGTTGTGAGGATGCAGAAAGCTACGTTCTCCAGGATAAAATTTTATGATTGCGGAAAAGATGAGGAAAACATATTCAAGTATTGAAAGGCATACACATATTGTAAATGGATGTATTTATCTATTTGTATATTACATTGAGTATCAAAAATGAGATCTGAATTTAGTTTTTGAAACGTTTAAAACAGGAAATCGATTTATTTATAAAATGTATTTTTTACAAATTCTTAATAATAATAATTTATTGGCCAAACATCAATACATAAGAAAAAAAAAAAGTACATTCTATACATAAATAAATTCTAACATAAAAAAAAAAAAAAAATTAATAGGCTGGCCAAAGGGATAACGACCGAGGTTTTTCCGCCCTACAAATTCTTATTTTTTTTTTAAAAAAACTGATTTGTAACAACTTGCATTAAATAATTTAAGATTTTAATTCTTCAATATGTATTTTTGTTTGCTTAAAACAGTTATGGGCAAACTGCGGCCCGCGAGACAGATACGGCTCGCCTAGAAATTCTACCTGACCCTCTAAATATTTTCAAACAATACTATATAAATATTTAATTTCAATATCAAAAAGAATAAGAGCGTGTTAAATTTATTGAAATGCAAAAATATCTATAGAATTTTAGTTTCATTCGTCTTTTGGCCCATTATTAACCCTTTGTCGTCTGACGGTACTTATAAGAATCGGCACATTTATGTGACTATTAAATTGTAATCTTTATGTTGTATACAAACATGATTTGTTTTGCAATTGGAAACAGCAAGTTAGTTAATCTACATTCAAGTAATATTTGTCATATTTATAATATTTTTGATATTTTGAATAAAGCTTGACTGGTTTAAAAGAATGTCAATTTTTGTGACATCAAAAATTAGAAAAACAATTCCAATTTTTCATAAATAGAAATGCTTGATTTAATGTAACATATGTGTTTTGAATTATATAAAATTTGGTTTTTGATGAAAACATTTATATCAATATGAGAAATGCCATATAATTAAACTCATAATACGCACGTTTAAAAAAAAACATTAGAATATAGATAAATATTTATAATTTGTCAAATAAAACTCTTAATTCTCTCTCACAACATTCACAATTATATAACTCAAGCTCAATGTGATATGAGAATTTAGAAAGTTTAGTGATATAATTTTGATTGTTGATCTCAGTGCAGTCGTTACGATCTAAAGGATCGTGTGTAATTACAGCGTGCCGGCCAGTTTGCAATTGGAAGTAATCCGATAGAATTGATAGAGTTGGAGTTTGGTTCGATGCAAGTGGAACGAAAAGGACGAAATGGAGGAAAAGGATTTCTAATAAAAGTTGTAACTTGATTTACTCACCTCCTAATATGAACATGCCGCTCGCCACGAGGGTTTTATTGTCGTTGCCGCAGTGTCCGAGCAGCGAGAACAAAAATGCCAGGAGCAAAAGGACGAGAGCCGCGCCCGCCAGCACAGTGCAGCATCTGAAAGCCAGGACAACGAAGATCATAAATAGCCAAGAAAAACTGTTTAATATTTATTATTAACGTGTAAATTACGGTTTTAGCGCAATATAAAAAGGACGCTGCTGGCCGTACATAAATTTCCGCTCGGTCCCAGGAGGAGATTTATTTCAGCGGCACTGCTGAATTTGCAAATGGCCGAGTGAAAACAAAACTATAGTTTCAGCTGGAAAAATTTCGCCCCTCCGCTTTGAATCAATACAATAATTAGCTGAAGGATTTAACTTTTCCGTTTCAAATTTGATGTATACATTTGATTATATATTTATTTTTGTTTTATAACATTGAGTTAGTTACTTCTATCCAAATTATAAGTACTCATGAAAGTTTATTATTTTTAATTTAAAATTATAATTAATAGCCTACATATAATTTTAATTATTTTATAAAACTTTAAATTTTTGCTACACATTTATTAGACTCTACTTACATAAAAATATTGAAAACGTACTATATTCTATATAATCATATAAAATGTGGAAAATTGTGTAACGAGTATTATACAAAAGCATTTTTTTTATTAAACCCGGCTCCTCCACTAAAGAAGATATGACTATAATATTTCAATTAGTTGCTACATCATTATATATTAAATAAAAATGCTACTAGCTAAGTAATAAGTGTATGCTATTTTTTATTTTATTCTCTGTAATTATTTATGTAATTTTATGGTTGTTTTTATACGTTAGTGTAAACTATAGATATTTTTTTTATTCTAAATAAAAGGAATGTAACAAAAATAAGTATGCTTTTATTATCCCAATAAAAATATTATGTAACATTTATATTTTGATTTATTAAACAAATAAATATTATGTAGTTAAATATAACAATAATAATAAATCTTCTATTAAATATTACACTATAAATTATATTAACTTAAAATGATACTTAAAATTTATTGCGGAAACGAGTATTTGTGTGAAAGTTTAACAACGTACATTGCTGCAGCTTTCACACTTAACTTAGACATTAATACCGGAATAATCACAGAGAAGTTTATTGTCTGGTTTACTTGTTAAACTGCAGATAAAACTAATGCTTATTATTATAATGTTCTATGAACACCTACATGTTTCAACATAAAGTAACGACGTGCACAGTCGCCGTTAAATATATATAATTTACTGCAAGTTTAATGGATTATAATAAATTTATTGGATAAGACGTTATGATGTTTTATTGTGTGTATCAAATCCGTATATTTCTTTATTAAATCCGGCTCCTTCAACAAAAGTAAAGAAGACATAACTATAAAATAATAATAATATTTATTATAATAATAGAAAATTTGTTACGCTTTTGACCTAAACTGAAGCCAATAAATAAATATTAAGAAAATTATAAATACATTTATAACTTACATCAGAATATTAAATATGATTATCAATTTGTCATATAATGTAATTATTCTATAAAATAAGTAATATCTATACATTTCTAATAATTTCTTTGAAAAAAACCTTATACAAATAATATAATATAATAAATACTTCATAATAATAACATGAAATAATTCGATTTCGATCTTTTTTTATCTTTGGAATACATTTAGACCCTTTACAGCCAACCAACTTTTAACCAACTTGCACCGTATTAATGTTTGAAAATTTATTTATTGGTGCCAATTAAAAAAAAATAAAGAATTTAGATTTGTTCATATTTGAAGAGTTTGGGTAAGGCTACGTGACTTGCGACTGTTTTGTATAAAATGCATAAGTTTCAAAACTTAATTTTTTGGTTGATAATTGTGATATCAGGTTGAAATCAGTAATCATTTAACATTATTTATTGCTGGAATTACATAATATATATTTATACATATTCAGTAAATAGAATAAAATGATCACAAATTCCTAAATTTCTAGATCCAACAAATTTCTAAAGAACTGAATAAGACAACTACGTCAATTAACATATCAACTAAATTAAAGGTTAATTCCTCTTTCCTGGACATTTCGTAGAAAATTATAGTAATACCACACTAGACATGTTCAAAAGGTGTACTACCGACCCTCAAGAGTTAACTTTCCGAGTAGGTAAATAAATTAAAATAAACTACAGTTAATATTTTTTTTTGTGAAACTTTAGTTTTTTTTTCAGTATATTTAATACTTGTATTGTTATCAAATTATATGTATTAACAGTGTTTTGTAACATTTATATATTACTAGCTTTTCATACCATTTTTATAATATTACAGTAATTCATCTACTGATTCTTGAAAATGGTTAATTTAAAATTATATTAATGCTATAAGAATTACATTTGGTATAATTAATTTTCAATTTTGTGCATTATTCATGGAGCTATTTGCATTGGAAACATAGTTAAATGCCGGCGACTACTTGATTAGCCAAAATACGTTAGAACCAGTAATTGCTTTACAAGACGTTGGGAAAAGGAGGGGTAGGGCTGTAGTACTCTGCGTCTGGGAAATTAATTATTCAGTGTGTTTGGTTTAAAGTAGTTTAAATTTGCGTGCGCCGAATACGCGTGTGAGCGAGAGGACGTATTGTATGTGTGTAGATGTGCGCGCCTAGCAATTTATTTCATTGAATTGCAATAATTTAATTCCGAACCAAATAGAAAATAAATAGATGTGGTCGAAGCTTTCAAGGGGGATTTGGACGTACGAACTAGTCCGACTGCCATTACCTACTGCCACTACTATCTATGTGATGGTGGTCTACGTGTGAATAATCGAAATTCCTATCCTATCCTACCCTAACTCACCCCGTCCTATCCTTTTCCATCCTTTCCCCTAGGATCACGGAAAAGGGGAGATGGATAGAGATAGAGAGAGAGTATGTGTATGCATGTATGTGTGTGTATTCGTCCTGCTGGAGGAAGCCCGAGAACGGGGGCAGAAAGTTAAGCATCGCAGCAAACCGACCGTCCCCCCAACGACCTCCCCTCCCCCCCGCGTCGACCTACCCAGTAAGTCATTTGTTATAATTACTAAACCAAAAACAACGAGTGGTTTCCCTCCGCAGGTTTTATCTGGCGATTTATCGCTTTACGCTACTCCTATTCCCAGCGTCGTCCTACAAATCCAGCAAGGCCACAATTTACTTCTTTTTATCCCCGGGATAATGTAATATTATGTTCATACTAAATCCCGTTGCCGCCCGAAAATAAAACATATTTTATTATTCTTCGCGCCGTGATATGCAATCCAGTTCTCTCCTACAATTTTTTTTTACTGTACTCCTACGTAGCCGGCACATAAATTCTGTGTTTGCACATGAATAAAAAAAAAAGTTGGTTCGCCTTTTAACTGAAACGAAGCTAAATATGGATATAGCATTTACTAAAAAACGGTAGTGGACTATACGCGTAGCACTAAATAATATTTATACACAATGTAGCCAAAAGTGTTATTGCTTTCATAAAAACACGCATCGTTTTTGGTTTTTGTTCGAACAGAGTAGTTTCACTTAACTAATTAATAATTTAAACTATATATATACACTCTTATAACATATAACTAATTTGAATTATTGCATACAAATAACTATGTAGATCTGCAACATTAGTACTATTCATATTAAACCATACATTTAGACCAAAAAAACTTATTGACAGTTATATGTTTAAAAAAAAATATATTTGATGTTCTACTATTTTGTAGAATTATTTTTTTATGGTCTTTAAGTATAATTCAATATCTTGTAATTCACATTAGAGATAACCATACATCTGATTCTTTTCTATATGGATTGAGTTATCCAAATTATTTAAATATTTGAAAATAATCTACATTTATTTTCTATTAAAATTTTATATATTTTTTAACTATCATTATCCTAGATTGTTAAAAAAATATTTAAAGCTAGTAATAATTCCTAGTTAATTACTACTTTTAAAACTTCTTTCCATATTATGCAATACAATTTTCTATATTTTTATTATATTTATGTATAATACAATCAATATGATTCCTGTTAAAAAAAAAAAACATCTAAAATATTTTACTTTAGTGAGTCTTTCTTCATAGTATATGTGAGATAAATTAACAACATTATGAATTTTCTAGCATCATCTCTAATAATGTTTGTAGTTTATATGAGCTCCTTTTGCATTAAAATTGGATGAAAATATTATTGTATCATTTGTTTATATAGATATGAAAATATCGATTTATAGAATTGTCTTCGTTGAATGTTTGAAACTAAGTTACATATATTTATAAAAAAAATCCAGCCTTTTTTCATTTTAGGTAAATAATTCCAATGCTTTCATATAAGAGAAGAAAAGAGTTTAAGAGTACTCATTTAGTGTCATTCAATACTAAACAAAGGCGTATGTTTGTTTGACAATTTATTTTACATGTAGAGATTTTTAATTGATATTTTTTTACTTATAAACAGGAAAGACTGTATTTTTATTAATGTATGTAATAAAAATAAATTAAAGAAATTTTATATTCCTTAACTTAGGCGACTAATAGCCGAATGGTTAAATCGTCCTACCCACGATCAAACTGGCGACAGTTCGAATCCTGGTCAAGCCAGGACCTTTGTGAGCCCTCTCGGTGCTTGCAGCAATAGAGCCATTGTTCATCACAGATGGACAGTCAAATGAATGATGTTCAGCATATGGACCTTCAGACAATTCGATGGACAATAACAGTGTTAAGGATAACAGCAGATTCACAGTGAAAGGAAATAGTGGAATTGCAGAGCATCACTGAAGTTAACCTACAAGACGACAGTCAACCTACAAATTACAAAATAAAACAAATCATCATAATGGTTATTATCCACCGGGAAAGATTATCCATTTAAAGAATCTGAATCAAAATAATTAAACGTTTATTTTTAATAGATCATTATAGCAGCTATAAAAATATGTTACTACAAAAGATATTAAAGCTCAATGATCAGCGAAGTGGATTTTTTTTGATAATAAGATTAAAATATAATCGATTCCTTTTCAATATTACCTCTTTATAAAGT